CAACCAATCAGAATGTAATTGGCAATTATTAATTGTGTTTTAAATTGAATAGCTTGGAGTAAATAAGGAATCGTATCTCATAAATCTTCCAATCCCGCTATGGGTACATGAAACATTTGATAGAAAATGTACACGAATTTAAAAAATTTGAGCTGGCATTTATAAGGCAAAAGAAGTGAAAATGAAATGGAAATAAAAGAAAAGATTCGAATGAAATGAAATGGAAATAAAAACCTGAAACTTCCTTTTCCCTTTCCCAATCTCGCACCTCCGTCATTTTCCCTAAGCTCCGACCCGAACTTAAAACCTGCTACCGCACTCACCATTGTCGTTGATCGGTGCCCACGAAGATCATACAAGCAAGCACCCAAGCTGAAAACCGCCTTCCGCACTGCACATGTTAGGGTTTAAATGACAACTAGAGGGATTGGGTAGCCAATCTTGAGTTGTTAAACGAGTTCTTTAACTGTGGTGGGAAGGGAAAAAAACACTCGTATTCACAGATCCATATCAACTCTTCCTACAACTGTAGTTTTTCGGTTAATTTGATTGCATCTTCGTTTATATATGTTTATTGTTAATACTAATTGTCAATTGAAGTTCTGCATTAGGAGTCATTTCAATTGTTATTCTTTGTTTGTTGTTTATTAATAAAAATTTTCAAACGAGTTTCCGTATTGAATTTCAAATTTATGAGTTTGTTGATTAAGATCGATTCTCATTGTTTCATTTGTTTTTTCAACAGTTATCGACTAGAATGAGATGAAATTTTGGAGTCTGTCATGGTTGCAAAAGCAACATGCACTGTAATATGTCTCATTATCTCAAAAATGTCTCAAGAAGATAGAAATGTGTCCAAATATACCTTCCCTGCGAGAATCACAAGCATGTGCCTCGTTGATAAGGTAAATGTTGATAAAAGTATGGCATAACAAGACCTAGTTTAGAAGATGACAAATTAGAACCCGCATAAGTGAAAGTTGCATATATAAATACCTAACAAACCTAATAAGAAATCAATTTACCATCCCAAACACAAACCTAATAAGCAATCAATTCCATTAGAAGCTTGACCATGTATGCACTCGAGTCATGTTCTGAACAACCATAAAAAAGTCATCGTGTCCTCATTCTATAACAATCCACAGCTAAGCAGTGTAGATTGTCCATGATAATTTACGCTTGCAAAAGGGGCGAAGGGTATGTCGTACATATTAGTCAGATATGTAATATTAAAAGTGACAACATCGTCGAACTCTTTGTAAGATTGCCTACATCTGTTATCTGCCCAAAAAACGGTCTTTAGTCGTGACTCATCGTCTAAGTCCATTCTAAAGTAAAATCCCGAGTACCGAGCTTGCATATTTGAAACATACGCATGTATTACGATGTCATCTCCTTCTTCAAGGCATAATCGTCTCACTTGTTCAATGTATTTCTGACAATCCTTTTCCACAAAAGACGTATTTTTATATCCACCTGCTTCCACAAATATGGAGTTGTAACTCTTGTAAGACGTATTTTCATATCCACCTGCTTCCACAAATATGGAGTTGTAACTCTTGTGCAAGGAAATTCTTGCCATATCATTTACTTCAAGCTTTCATTTGACACTCGCACTCAATTTTCAGTTACATCGGTACAACCTAAACTTGGAAGGAATTGTTTTATGATTCTGATCGAGGTACATTTTATTAATTCTATATATTCCAAAACTGTCTAAAGATGCAAATATTCTTGCTTTATAGTCTGTATGACTTGCTGGTTGCGGCTTCAAGGAACCACTTGTAGCATAAGTTCTTCGACCTTTATGATTACATTGAACGTCATATATCTCATAACTCAATCGTCTTCTTTTTTTCAAAATCATTTTCCTCACTGAAAAGCTTACGACATAAGTATATCTTTTGTAGAAGTTCAACATTTCTTTCTCATCATTAAACATCATACCCACCTCAGGCACAATCACAACATCTCATCCTATATTTTTATTATCCAATATGTTTAAATTGTCCACAACGTTCTCATTATAATATTCCAGCAATAAATCATGATTCTCATCTTCCATAATTTTGGTATTCGAGGGAAATAGCGTGCATTCCGCTTTTGTTAGCCCCAATTATTCATTATTCATTTCTTTATGTTTTTCTTATTTTACGCTGTCACGTCAAATTTGGCATTCGAGGGAAATAGGGAGCATTCCGCTTTTGTTAGCCCCAATTATTCATTTTTCATTTCTTTATGTTTTTCTTATTTTACGCTGCCACATCAGATTTGTTTGAATTCTTGTAATAGTTTTGGACAATGTTATATGTATATAATTTTTTTACCTAATCTTTTACTTACACTCACAATAGGGTGTTGGGACCACATTTTTGAGAGTTTTTTTATTCACGCGAGCCCCACGCAAATGTGAGAGGGTGCAACATTTTCGATAAGGAAAATTACAAGTAGTTTTAGGGTGTTTGGTAGAGATTAAAATTAGATTTTTAGTGAATTGTGATAGAAGTTTTTGAAATGTATGGTTGAAAATATGTGGAACTTATGAAAGATGTGGTTAATATTGATTATTTGACTTTAATTTAAATTAAAATCAGATTTTAATTCGATCCAAACAAACATTTGATGAGTTGGACATGTAACCATAGGTCCATAGCTTTATTCTAAATCTTCACATAGCAAAACACTGTACCAATAAGAGGGAATAGAGAGAGATCGGACTTTCAAAAATCCCCAACCCGAACTTCCCTTCATGGTCTCTCTCTGCCTATATATTCATATTCATATATTAATGGAGAATGTGTGATTAAAAAAAAGGAAAAATTATTGATGTGATAAAAAATATTATTTTATTGAAAAATTTGTAATTGAAAATGAATAGAATAATGAAAATAAAATTTTTAATGTGGGGCTAAGTCTCATTTCCATCACTTCACACGCTGCCGGAGATATCCGTTCCGACGGCCGGCCCATAATCCCCTTCGACGAATTCGGGTTCACTCACCGTGGCCAGCTTGAGCTCAAACTTACCCAAATCTCCCTCTCCTGACCCGACCCTTCAACCCTTGAGTTCTCCAAAGTTGGTTTCTTTCTATGTACCCGTGATTCGTGGATCAACGTGCTCCAGCAAATCGCGGAATAGATTAAGAAAGTTTTCGTATTCAATCAACTGCCTAACCCTACTGCCGCGAGCTTTTAATCTACTGTACTCGGAATCAAATGCCGATCAGTACACCCTGGTGTTCGCTAATTGCCTTCCGCAAGTTAAAGTTTCGATGAATGTACGATATGTGATGTACAACTCGGAGAACGTAAAGTCCAACCGCCGGGATTATTTTTCGGCGGGGATGACTATTTTACCCCGGGTTTATTTCATATTCTTCTTAGTGTGTTTTGTTCTAACTGCAGTCTGGATTTATGTTTTGTACAAGAAGAGATTGACTGTTTTTAAAATTCATTTATTTATGTTTTCGGTAGTGATCTTGAAAGCATTGAATTTGTTGTGTGAAGCGGAGGATAAGTCGTATATTAAGCAAACTGGGTCAGCCCACTGGTGGGATGTGTTGTTTACATATTCAGTTTTCTAAAGGGTATTACCCAGTTTACTTTAATTGTTTTGATTGGGACCAGATGGTCGTATTTGAAGCCATATTTGCAAGATGAGGAAAAGAAGGTTTTGATGATAGTGATTCCATTACAAGTTGTTGCAAATATTGCACAGGTTGTGATTGATGAGACTGGGCCATACGGTCAAGATTGGATGACATGGAAACAGGTTTTCTTGCTTGTGGATGTTGTTTGTTGTTGCGCTGTGCTTTTCCCGATCATTTGGTCGGTTAAGAACTTGCGTGAGGCAGCAAGGATTGGCGGGAAGACTGCCGTAAATTTAATGAAGTTAACTTTGTTTAGGCAGTACTACATTGTGGTGATATGCTACATTTACTTTACACGGGTTGTGGTTTATGCACTGGAGACAATCTCATCTTATAAATATCTGTGGACCAGCGTGGTGACAGGGGAGTTGGTGACATAGACTTTCTATGTGTTCACTGGTTACATGTTCAAGCCTGAGCATCACAATCCCTATTTTGCTATTGATGATGAAGAAGAGGAGGCTGCAGCTGAGCAATTGAGGCTAGAAGATGAGTTTGAATTGTAAGTTGCTAATGCGGGTATGTCAATGTTGCATGATCCAATTGGAGCAGATTGAGGTAGATGTTTATCCTTCTACGTGAGTTGTGATCTTCGATTTTTTATTTTTTTTATTTTGTGAATGTTGTCTTCAAGCTAGTCATGTAATGTCAATACATGTATGTGAATTTTTTCAGAGAAAGCAAATCTTTTCTGAAAATGAAAATTATGTCTTTGGTGTTGAGATCGGGTAGAGTTTTTTTTTTTCATATTTATTGGTAGTATTTGTGTCTAATTTCATGGTTTGATGTAAGATAAAAAAAGAGCAGCAGAATTTGAGAGAGGAATCTAGAGAGAATTTTTAATTATGCTGAAAATTTATAGCAAGACTAACCTGTTAATATGTAAAAATTCCTAACAAAAAGGAGAAGTTGATGAATTAGCAAGTTGAAGAATTTCCTGACCTGAAAATTATTAATGGATTAGGAAATCGATAATCATTTTCTAATTTTATTCCTGAGATAAGTGTAGTTTTCAGACTTGGTGTTCCATAAAAGGAACATCAGGAATGGTAATGATATATTTTCCTATTGAAGTAGAAACAAATGATACAAAGCTAGACACTCAAATGTGCTTCAGTGAGGAAATGAATCCATCACATTGAAATCAGTGAATATAATCAAGTATGATGACAAATAAGCATTATATCCAGGTCTTCGAGTATAGGAAATTGGCCAAGTGATTGAGCATGACAACTTTTCAATGTCTTAAGGTTCTCAGAAGAAATAGGAACAGTTAAGAAGTGGGCAGCTTTATCCTGGGAAGACAATTTTTGGTTGAATTCAATAAAGTGTGTGCTATATGAAAAATGCTATCTGTCATTGAAAAATTCATTCTTGCTGCTATCACAGTCTTGTGTTTACTGTTTAGAGATGTGGATTGTTCTTGTGCTTCGAGATATGGATATTTGGTAGGGTTTTCTTTTTCCAGGAATTCATTTGATAATTTTTTATTACTTAGTCCTCTGATACATTGTAATTTAGAGCAGTTGGTTTCAGCTTGAAATCATCATCAGTAATGTCATAATTATATTAGCAAT